CTATCGGTCGTACCTGTGAGCGTTGGCGGTATCGTGTCGAAGGGGCTGAGCGAGCCCGGGAACGTGCCCTCCATCAGGATCATGAAGAGCTTATCCCTTCGGGCAAGGTCACGCCGGTCTTCTCGGGTAACCTGGAGCCCAGCTACCTGGAGGTCTCGGAGGCCGAGTTCGACGAGGTCCCGGCGGGGCTTCTTCATCCTGGGAGCTGGGGGAACGTCGTGGCGGTCAAGGTGCCGCCGGGGTCCAACATTCTGGAGCTGGAGGGCGAGGCCCCGCTGCTGGCCCTGAGGCATCTGTTCAGGGACTCGTCGGCGGTCGGCAAGCGTATCCTTGTGTTCGTCGACAACCTCCCCTTGGCCCTTGGGGCCACCAAGGGCAGGGCCCGCTCAGTCCATCTTCGGGGGCCTCTGCGGAAGCTGGCTGCTTTGGGCCTCGCCACTGGGAGCCGCCTCCACGTTCGCTGGATCCCGTCCGAGCTCAACCCTTCGGACCCCCTCTCTCGGGGCCGTCTGGGCTGGTTCTCAGGGGAGCGGGCTCCGCGCGCCTAGGGCCCCGCGGCAACACCTCTGCCGCCGGCCGCGGATGGCGCCCAAGCGGCGGCCCGCCGCGGCCCCGCGGCGGCCGAGGACCGCTGCCGGAGCCCTGGCCCAGCAGCGGGCGCTGCTGGTGGCCACGCTGGTGGCGGACAGCCGCCTTGTCCTCGGCCTGTCCGCCCTGGAGCGCGTCGCGGTCCTGCCAGTGACCGAGGCGCCGTTCCGCAGGCTGGCTCTCCGGTTCCGCTCGGACTGCACCGGCACGGAGAGGGACCTGGCCACCTGGACCCAGCTAGACAGCAACCTCGGCGACTTCAGGAACGCGCTGCTGGAGTCGGGCAAAGCGTCGGGCACTGGCCCCCAGCCCCTGGCGGCGAGGGCGCACTTCATCCCGGAGGTGCGGGGCGCTGCCAGGAGCTTGCCGCCTCGGAGCTGCCGCCGCGCCGTGGCGTGGAAGCGGCGGGTCCCTCCTCGGACCCGCTGCCCGCTACCCAAGGCGGCGACCCTGGCGATCGCGGGCCTCCTGGCCTGCGCCGTGCCTCCCAGCTCGGCTCTGGGGGTAGCCCCGGCGTACAGTCGCTACCTCTGGCCGTGCGAGTGCTTCCGCCTGAAGGGCCGCGACCTGGTCCGCCCCCCGCCAGCCGCGGGCCCGCAGCACTCAAGGCCCGCGGAGATGCAGAGGCGGGGCCCGTGGCAGGCCCCCTGCTCCAAGAAGCGGTTCGTGAAGGAGACGAAGCGGCTGGCGAAGATGGGCCAGGTGCGCGTCGAGGTATTCAAGCTGGGGGGGCGGGTGGAGTCGCTCTTCGCTGGCGCCCTGCTGGGCGGGCTGCTGACCCAGCCCCTGGCCGGCGCCGTGCCTGCCCGCCTCCAGGCGTGTCTGCGCGAGGCGCCGACCGAGCGGCAGGCAGCGCTGCGCGGTCGCGTGGCCCGGCGTCGCTCGGCTCGCCCCGCGTCGTAGAGCAGCGTCTCACCCAGAAGTTCGAGCGCGCTCTCAGAGGCGCTCGGCGGCGCAGGCGCTGCCTGTTTTTCGAACTCTCTGCTGGGCGCGGCCGCATCGGCCAACAGTTGCGCCGTGCTGGATTCGCCTGTCTTTCGCTTGATATTCTCAACGGGCCTGCAGAGAACCATCTGTCCCTCACCTTCCAGCGGAGAATCTCGGGCTGGGTGAAGTCCCATGCTGTCATCGGGGTGTGGCTTGGCACCCCTTGCACGTCCTGGACTCGGGCCCTTCGCAAGCCTCTCAGGTCCCCCGAGCGTCCCATGGGTATAGATGGCCTCTCCTCGGCCGAAGCTTCCCGACTGAAAGTCGGGAACGCTTCCTTCCATTTCACGTGCAGGGTGATTGGGCTGTGCGCATCTCTCGGGATTCCAGTCTTTTTGGAGAACCCTTTAACTTCTCTCATGTGGCAGGCTCCAAGGCTCGTTGCCCTTTCCCGCCTCCCCTCGTTCTCCTCCTCCATCTGTCATATGTGTCAATCTGGCACTCCTTGGAAGAAGCCAACCCGTATTTGTGCGTGGCATGGTGGGTCAGGATATCACATCTGTCACAAATGTCGCCCGTGCGGGCGGGTGTGCTCCAGGTCTCAGCGCCCCCACCTCGTGCTTGGCGGCAGAGCCCCCGGCGGTGTCCATTACACCGCGTTGGCCGCCTCCTATCCGCCCGCCCTTGCGCGGGCAGCGGCTGCACAGATGATCGAGAGCGCCCATGTCGTCCAATCCAGACGTCTGGCTCACCTGTGGGGTGTCTCTTGAGCTGCTCGTTTATCATGTGTTTTTGGTTGGAGGTCGTGCGTCATTTCTAATTGCGGCCTTCGGCCATTTCCGCCTTTCGGGAGCGGGTGCTCAGTCGAAGCCTCGTGCAGCCGGCGTCCACGTGGTGCTGACACATCTGCCTCCTTCGGTCTTCTCAAACATGCATCATCTCGCCCTGTGGAGCAGCCCAACATGCTGGGATATCTTACATAGTGAAGCATGTGTTGCAGCGCAGAAGGGCCGTACTTGTGTCGGCTCAAGCTCTCCCGCCCTCCCCCCCTCTTTCTCTCTCCTCTCTTTGATTGAATTTTTGTTCCACCCGACATGCCTCGGGTGCTCAGTCGAAGCCTCGTGCAGCCGGCGTCCACGTGGTGCTGACACGTCTGCCTCCTTCGGTCTTTTCAAAAATGCATCATCTGGCCCTGGGGGGCAGCCCAACATGCTATATATATA